ATTTTGCTAATATTGTTGAACCCTTGTTAGTAATTAAAAGAAAGAAAAGTAAATTCACGTGGACAGCAGAAGCAAATACTGCATTTGAAAGGTTAAAAGAAGCGCTCATCAATGCCCCTGTTTTGAAATTCCCGGAAGGGGACGAAAACCTGGAAATTGCAGCAGATGCGTCGGACTATGCTGTAGGTGCTGTTCTCATGCAAAATGGCCATCCTTTGGCATTTTTTAGTAAAACTTTGAACTCTACGCAAAGGAATTATACAGCTACAGAGAGAGAAACATTAGCCGTATTAATGGCTGTACACAAATTTCGAGTTTATTTCGGCAAAGCGCCAGTAACAGTCTTTTCGGATCATGCGGCTGTTGGTAGACTTTACTCGGGGAAAAACCTAACGCCCAGGTTAATAAGATGGGCTTTAAAACTTCAAGAATATAATCTCATAATTAAATATAAACCGGGTAAGGAAAACAATGTAGCTGACGCACTTTCTCGTATAAAACTGGACGATGAAGGCAATGAACTCAAATGCGCTGTGTTGACTTCAAAAATTTTAGATTCTAGAGAAACAATTATTGCTGAATTGAAAGCTGATCCTGAATTTGGAAGTATCTATGCTTATTTGAAAGACCCCGAAAGCTTTGAACACACAGATATCGATGCGATAAGAAATAGAGCAGAAAACTATGAAATAATAGATAATTTATTATTTTATACGAAAACAACAAACGAAAATTTCGAGTACAAACCAGTCATCCCAGCCTCGCTTCGATTAAGCATTTTGAAGGAATTACACGACGCGAAAAACAGCGGGTCATTTAGGGGTCAGAAAGACTTTAAAAAGGGTACGCGAGGCGGTATATTTCCCGCAATTATACAAAATAGTAACTGCGTATGTCAGGTCCTGCAATCAATGTCAGTTAATAAATGATATTAATTACAGCCCGGCCGGGTACTTAAATAGCATTCGCGCTACATTTCCGAATGAAATTTTAGGCATAGATCTTCTTGGTCCTTTTCCCCAGAGTGAGTTAAATAAAAATCGTTTTCTTTTAGTAATTGTAGATCATTTTTCAAAATGGACAGAAATTGTTCCACTTAAACGCGCGTCAGCCAAAACAGTCGCAGATGCATTCTTACACAGATACATTTTAAAATACGGTGCACCGATAAAAGTCATTAGCGATAACGGTAAACAATTCGTTAGCCAAATATTTGAAAACATTTGCACTGGACTTGGCATACGCCATATCAAAATGGTTCCGTATAGACCACAGGCAAACATAGCAGAAAGAGTTAATAAAAATATTGTAAAAATAATTCGAAGTTATGTTAGCACACATCACAAGCGCTGGGATGGCTACATAAATGAGTTAGCTTATGCTTTAAGAACGGCAAATCACGATACTACTACGGAAAAACTCCAGCAGAATTATTTTTAGGACGGAAGTTAATTACGCCACTTAGATAAATTATTCTTTGTGCAACAAAGAGAGCAAGAATTTAAACAAAAAGATGTGCACAAAACTTATTGACCAGGCGGTTAAAAGTTCGGATACGGCAAGAAATAGACAGAAAGTTTACTATGATAGAAAACGCCGTGAAGCAGATTTTAAAGTTGGGGATAAAGTGTTGAAGCGGAAATTTTCTTTATCAAGTGCCCCAGACAATTTTACTGCAAAGTTAGCTCCAAAATTTGAAGGCCCCTATGTAATTCAGGAAATCAAGGGAGTCGTATTGTACCTTAAGAACGAGAGAGGGGGAAATCTGTAAAGCAAGTCCCGACCAGGTGAAAAAATATTATAATCAAAATGATTTTGAAATCCTTAAAAGTTTCTTGCAGGACTCAAGCGTAAAAGAAGTGGAAGGTCAAGAAGTAACGTCACCCGCTCCACCACCCAAGAAGCAGAGAACAAAGAGAAACCTAGCCCTTCTACAAGTCATGCTACGGTACCCGAAAAGAAGGAAAGGAAAATGTTCAGACTCCAGCATTTAAGAAATACAAGAAAGCAACGCCGCCGTAAAGAATCTTTGGTAAAGGAAAAGACCAGTTACAACTTCCCACAGTAGAAAATTCTGCGTCGAGGAGAAACCACTTCCAGGGCCAGATAGTCAGGAGCAAACAAGGCCGCCGTTCACGAGAACGAAAAAGACAGCAAGGAGGAACGAAAAGATTGGCACCAACAGAAGAAATTCAAGCAAGATTCCAGACCGGAGGCCGCCAAGACCAGCCGTCCAGGGGCCAAAACGGAAAAGACACAGGAACCCGACGACTACCACTCCAAGAGGCCGGCGTACAGAGGGCGAAAAAGAAAGTCACCATGGACGAAACTCGAAGAAACCAAAAGGAGGACGACTGACTTCCATGAATTCTGTAACTTGGGAGCAGTTCTGCCAGAAGAGGATGTCGGAGTTCCAATCATCGAAAACTCAAAGATAAGTTAAAATCTTCTATAAATTTTTTTCTTTTGTTCCGAAATGTTATGCGTAAATACGAAGTTCTATGTTTTGACGGAAGTCAATTTGTCTCGGTTGAGACTTAGTTTTGTTTTACTTTATTTAGCTAAGGCAAAAGTATTATTTTCTTTAAGTATAAAATCTAAGAACAAGCAGTTTCTGTTGGTCGAAAGACTAATTCTGTTATGTTAAAGCCAAAATTTGGCCGAAAGTAAAAATAACTTCGTATTCTTGTATTAATGAAAATTTAGTTTCAGTGCCGCCAGCTTGGCGAAGAATGCGTGAAGTAAAAATTTTATTTTTCTATCTTATTCATTTTATGGTAAATTGTAAAAATCATATGTATTAGAATTTTGTAAATATACGTAAATACTTGAAAGTTATGTAAAAGTAGAATTTAGTCTAGAAGCATAAAATTTTAGATGCTAAAAGTAAATGCTCAAAAGAAATGAATTCAAATTTAAGTATTAAACTGTAGATAAAATCATGCTTTAGAGCGAAAGCCTGCATGTCTAAAGATGAATGAGGGGGAATTTAGAATGAATGTGTTTTGTAGGGTTCTCCACCTACACTTGAATTTTAAGAATGTTAAAGTAGCTCATCGAGTTGTAGAATGTCGAGTAAGGTGTGTCTATTTGGTCGTTGAATTCTAACAAATCATTGTGGTTAGGGGAAGTGTTGCAATACTAAAACACGAATATTCCCGTTTTGACACCACACATGGTGGAGAGCCAGGGTAAAGTTAAATTCATGTTTGAATACTTGAATGAATGTGAATTAAGCAGTAATTAAGGAAAATAAAGGATCGTTAAAAAACAAAAACTTTAAGAAAGTGTAAATTATAATGTATTTAGAAATACTGATACTTATTCCTTCCAGATGCTGGAAGGAAGAGAACAAGATTGATTGCTGAAGTCCAGGAAAGGTTGCCTGTAAGAAGAGAGGAATTTATTATCTACAGAAATTTATTCTAACATTTTGAGAAAACAGTTTTTTTTTTATGTAAACGAGGCTCTTGAAAATTTAGTTCAGAATTGTGGAAACTTTTTCAACAGGTCGTTTCTAGGACCTGCTTCCAAGTTTTCCAAATTCTGGCAGCGGCAAATGTAGGGTTTATATTTATTTTAACTAACATTTATTTTAAGTTTAAACTCTTTCCTGTCAAGCCTTACTTTCCCCTGGAATTGCCAATGCCAGAGTATGTAAATTGTAGTAGAACGCGCAAATTCAAATTAAATTTAGCAGGAAGTAATTTGAGTTAAATAGAAGGGAAACGAGTTTGTAAAGTGTGCTTCTTGATTCACGAGCGTGAAGGTTGCTAGGTAGAAATTTAAGAACCGCGCGTTTCGGCCTGTGTGCCTATTTCGGCAGTTAGTGAATTTTTCAACTGCTTAATCAGAAAGTTTGCTGAAATCTCAGCTGTATCTTAGAATGCGGTTAAGTTAGTTTACGATTTTAGCCTCGCAGTAGTGATCTAGTTGTTTATTCATCCTGTCATTAATTTTTTTTTTTTCACAGTTATTTTTTTTTTAAACCGCCGGTCGGCGTAGTTTTGTGAGCGTCAATGAACGCATCTGTTATTTTTAAAGTGGAATAAAAAGGGATTTAAACCCTTCTTACGAGTTTGTGTAATTTACAGTTCATAGCAGTCACTACCATAGTTGCTGAGAAGTTGGGGCCACGCAATACTATATCTCTATGAAACGAGCTTGCAATCATGATTGTAAATACTATGGAAAGACACTAGTTTGGACGTTCACAGAGATGCTATATTGTCCTAGATTTCTATACATTGTTATTTTGTATCAGTTTCAGGACATAGACCGCGGTTAGGAATAAATATCTCGAAGATGTGTTATTTCTTTCAGTTTGCGATAGCATATTATCATTAAAAAGTACATTTTTTGATGTAGATGATATATAAGATCTTCCATTTATCTCGTATATTAATAAAATTGCCTTGTCGAGAACAGCATAACTAATTTATTTAAAGACAGAAAGCATATATTTTATATGGACTTCTTTACAAGATTTTGCTAGAAATGTTATTTTATACTAAGATTTGTAAAATAGGCTCTTAGCATCCTATCAAAAATCGATCGCAAAATTTGTAACTCAGCTTTTTGTATACTCTGGTATCTGCATCTAAAAGAAAATCTGTGGTGAAGTTGTAACAACACAGATGTTATTTTTGATTTAATAACAGATGCGAAATATTTACAAAAATTCTAATATCTTTCATACCTTTTCAAATTTTTAAGTTTTTACTTGAGTTGCATGATCTTAAGTTTTTTAGACTGCAAGCCCTGTTTTTTTTTGGGGGGGGTGAGTTTATTACAACATAATTGAGGAATACAAGACCACTACTGTCCTGTAAACTTGAGGAACAAAACCTACGATCCACACTTTCCCTCAAGAAGAAAAGAAGACATTTTAAATTCAGAACACCAAAATGTTTCATGGAAAACGTGGCTTTTTTTTGGGGGGGGAATAGCCAAATATGAGCCTTATCAAAAGAGTCCATTTTATAATACTTATTGCTTACTTTGCTGTCCTCCGATGACTTGCTTGTAGTCAACGGAATATTGAGACTGACTCGACTGAGAAACCTGCTGCGTGATCTGCGTCGTTTTCTGAGTTACTTGAGATATTTGAGTCGTGTGGGAAATTTCAGTGTGAGAAACTTCGGATGAGCCACCGAATAAAGGCGATCTTGCCTATTAGGGAAAAAAAAAATGCCATAATCAATAAATTTAAATTGTTTATTCATGGTTATAATAACGTTATTATTAAACTTAAATATCATATAACAAAACAAATATATTTATGCAAAATAAGAAATTTCTTCTTAGTGACATATAACGCGTTTCTTAGGTTCTAAGACACGTTGCTTATTCCGCACAGGGATAAGTTTATCCATAAGTATTCCTATAGTGAACCTATATACCTTGTGTTCATAAGGGTTCTTATATGCGAACTTTATTTTAGCTACCACTGGTCCTAGATACATACTTCCATTAAAAAAATGCTTTAATAAGAAAATATTCATACTGTAAGAGCTTCAAATTAAAAAAAAAAAAAAAAAAAAAAAAACAGTTTTTATAAAAATCATAAAATCTAACTTTTTATACGGTATATAGTTAACAAAATTTATACTTATTGTAAAAATAAAAGCACAAAGCGTTTGACTTCCAACGACAAATAGATATATTGACCTTAAAATACTGATAATTAATATATAGTACAATATATTTAATTTTTAAATTTGACAATCTGAAAGCGAAATTTTTAATTTGTACTATAAACAGGATGGTCATAGCGCGCTGTCGCAGATGCTCTTATGCAAATAATATATATATAACTAAATTGATTATATTACGTTCTAAGATTAATTTTAGTAGAATTATCTTAAAAGAGTGAATCCATACTTATTATTCAATTTCGAAAAATGTTTTAAAATAACTTGAATGTAATTGTTAAAATGTTTAAACGGGGACTTGAATTAAATCATGAATAACAAAATTTCAATTGTAAAAAGAAATAAATTTCAGTTTAAAAGAAATGAATTAAAAGCAAGTAATTAAATTAATGCAAGTAATCATTGCATTGATCGGAAATTAGTTACTTTTCAAAGGAACAAACAAACAAAACAAACAAAAAAAAAAAAAAAGCTCCCGTTTAATGAACAGTAATTAAGAAATAAATACAAGGTGTTTCCTTCCTTTACTCGAGCAATAAGGCGATGCCAACCGGCAATTCAACTAGGCCAAATATTTCGTGAATAGAAGGGACCAAGAACCATGCAAGAACCAAGAACTCATTCAGATTAGCATTTTAGCTAATTCAATTTGACGAAAATCATTTCTGCGGGCAAAATTGACATTGCTCGAGTAATGTCCCCCGACAAACCCCGTGTTTATGCATTTTAGTTCAAAACTATTTGTAAAATATATATATATATATATGAAATACAATTAACTAAAACAATATCCAAAAAAAGAAATTTATTTATGTTATTTCTTTTTACAACATTATTAGTTAACTTAAGCTGATGAAAGGCCAAACGTAATTATTTTATTTTACTTCTTGTCAGATAGGAAACTTAATAACATAATTCAAAAAGGTATAAAAAGTTTTAAAAAAATTCTGAGAGATTTCTGATTTTATATTACGCCCGAAAGAGCATTTCTTTCATTTACACACTCATATACGTTTCGAGAGCACTTGAGCTAACGTTCCTTTGGGCTAAAATATTTAAAAACAGCATAACTTTAGAATTTCCGATAGACAGTCATTCCAAATTCGGCCTTTCCGGTGCTCATATTCGGGTGAAGTATTACTTTATTCAAAATTAGATAGCTCTAGGTACGTTACTGTCTTCACAGTGCGAGAAACATACATACATTCATGCAAATTCTTCATTATTTAATTTCTTTAAATATAATACAGGGCGATAATATTTGTTGGCCACAATATGAAAAGTGTTACAATGTTTTTAGTGATTCCACGCTAAATGCTGTTGCAAGACTAATAGCCCTTCTGGACTAACACCCCTTTGGGCTAATAAAACAAATAAAAATATTTTTTATTTCGATCAAAGAATTTTGTAAAGAAAGTTTTGGATAGATGAATAGATTTGCTCACGGATGCTTTACCAATTGATGGGGGGATGCTTGTGAATTCTTCACAGGAAGAATTTGCCGAATTTCTAAACCATTACTAGCGGTAGAAACTAAACAGGGAAGGCCTTTGAGTGGAGCATAAAAAGCGCGTAATGCATCAGAAGCATTTAATATTGACCAGAATTTGATAAAATTCAAAAATAATTTGAAGTTTATTCGACGACTCACTGATATGAACTTTACGGCAGCAAGAATCTTTGGGAATTTCGAATAAATCTGATGAGAACCGTAGCATAGAAAACAACGTTGCCTTCAGAATTTGAGATATTTCGAGATGTTACCTTTAAAACATTTCGAAACAATTTAAAGGCAACAGACATACGTCTTGCTTGCTATAAATTGAACAAGCAAAAGGGAGGCTTGCGGGATAATTTTGAGGTAGCAAATAAGCGATTTTAGTCTTTGTGACCCAGATATAAGAAGAATCCGAAGTTTCATGGGTATTACAAATCTACAGTAAATCAACATTTACAAGAAGGTATCATAAAAGAATCGGAGTGTTTAGGTACTGGAAAAGAGTGTTTTCTACCGTATTAAGCTGTAATTACAGGCAGCAAAGACTTCACAAAACTTTGCGTTGTCTTCGACACCTGATCACCTGCTGAAAAACAAACTGTCATTGATATAAGTCATCTTTGTAAGTATGTAGGAACAGGCCCACTTCTAGATTTTGATATCTCAGTCTGTTCTAATATATTGGTTCACAAAGCTACTACAAATAAGAACAATCTGAAATATATATTAATCTAAATTTATAATGATTAATTCTTAATTTCTATTCTAATATGTATTCCTATAATCTCTCAGCTTTAAAACAATTGAAAGCAGAATAGGGTCACTTGTCCGAGTGCTAGTACACTAAGGCTCTATTACGATGAAGATTTAGGCTTCGTCTTATGTTTATAATATTTTAGAGCAGTATAACGGATGAAAGAAAGAAATAAAGTTATATAGATGAAGAATTTTTAAAAGAATAAGGTAAATTGAGGGAGATAGTCCTTTTAGTGGCTAAATACTGCCAGAACAATTTTTCAAAAGAAGCTGAAAAAAAGAAACATTCGCCGTACAAAGGCAAATGTACTTTGTTTTCAACGGATAAGAAAATAGTCTTATTACTTGGAACAAAATTAAGTACGGCTTCTTCTTTCAAAGAAAACAGTTACTCTTACAGTAAAAATTCAGCAAAAAATATATCAAGTGATTTTCACAGAATGAAATAATTCACCAAGAAGAAAATAATGTGAAATTACACCCTGATCCTGAAACTATATCCATCCTGATATCAGAATAATGCTAGGTTAATTTGTAATAAAAAGTGAGAGGATGGTAGTCTTTTAAAATGCAAACGAACGTAAAGATGCTTCTCATAATCCAAAGAAAACTTCCATTCATGAAAACACTGTTTTCTTATTAAATCCAGGGGAAAAGAACCTACTTAAAGAGGATGGAATAAGAGCATACCTCTGCAGGAGATGAGGATGTTCTTTTTACAGATGCAGCTACTGAACACGCGCTTTCGGTGTAGTAAAGTATGCTTATAAATATGCAGATCCAGTTCCATAAATTTAGATTAGTTAATATGTTCTTATTTTACAGTTTTTCTATGAAGAGCCAATTCAGCTTGTTACGCGAAACATTTTGAAAATGCTGTACATTTAAGTCAACCTTAGTGTTTTTGTTTAACTGTGGAATTGAATCTTTAATTTTATGAAAGCCTGAATGAATACGTTGAGAATCCAATGCTTGTAGTATCTATAGATACTGCCATTGTTGAACTGAATATTTACTTATGTTCCTTTATGAGAGCTCTTTTTTCCGACCAAAAATAGTGACAAGAGCAAGGAAATTAAAAATCGAGAGAAATTTTTATTCTGGATTCTGCTGAAATACTTCACTATTGTAAAAGGAAGTACTAAAAATACAGAAAAATAGGAAAATGAAACTGAAAAAGAAAACAAACAATAAATAAAAAGAAAGTGCAGCATACAAGGGAGATAGCTAGGTACGTTTCTTTCGAATTATTTTTATCTTCGTGGGGATGTCTTCGTGGAGAATGTTTTAAGATAAACTGTCTCGCAGCCATATTAATACATGAGGAAAACTACAAAAACACTTAAGCAGTCAGCTAGTCTGCCGAGGTTCAACCCAGGTCGAATTTCAATGTTCAGCGACTTTACCGTTTGGCGCTGGGGAATCCGTTTCACATGGTGATAAAGGTCAGTGAAGTACGTAAATTTTCCCTGAAAACTCTGAAGTGCAAGAGAGACAGTTTCTGCTTGTATCCAAATCAGGAGGCAAAACAAAGTTAGAAAAATAGAATATTTGATTTACTAAATAAAACCCATTATAGAATATTTTCAAGAGTAGAAAACAACAACAAGAAATGCCTTTGCCTCCTAATGGAAAGCGATATATTTCATATAACTATTTTAGGTTTGGTTGCAGTGGGTGTTATCTTATGCACTACAAGCTAGTAGTAAAAGACAAATTGTAAATAAAATAGCATTAAAACACGCTTAATTCTGAAAATGTTTTTATAAAGTATGTAGTTATGCAACCAATTCAGTTTTTTTTTATTAACTTGCACATCATTTTGCAATTATATTAATAAAAATATGTATGGCAAAATATAGTTGTTACCTTTTCAAATTTAATTACATTTCAATAAACTACTTCAGGTAAGTTACTAATATATACGTTAGAAATTTTATATGCTCATTACAACATAAAAAATTTAATGTTTCATATAAATTTCAGGATTTTGTTTGAGTTGACGTGATAGTTATAATAAGTAAGACTTTAAATATTGTTTTAAAATCGATTTATGCTATTTGGATGCATGTATGTAAATATATAAATAATATATATAAATTTAGAAAATCTACTGCTAATAAATTTTCTTATTTACTATCAAAGTTTGCAATTAAAAATTCCTGGAATTTTTTTTTCTCAAAGACGGATAGTGTGCTTAGTGAAGCACAGTAAAAAACAATTCAAAGATTAAAAATAAATGAATAAAAGCGATAATACGTGGTCAGGTGGCATGTAGGGTTTCATTTCAAACGGCAGGGGTCCAGATGTATATTGAGGTGGTGGAGCCGGAGAAGATCCTGGTGTTGGACTTGTTGGGGCGGTGACCTTGTGAAAATCTCCCGAAATTCTCTGTAAAAAGAATTTTATAGTGTTAGTTAGGCATTATAGATGAGAAAAGAAGCAATCTTCGCTATATAAATACTGTTTTAAGCATTAAAATATTGTCTTAAAATTTTCTTTAATTTGCTTTAGTAAATGGTGAGAAAACGATTATTCTGTGCCGTGGTACCTGTTTGACAAAAATTTATTCATTGTGATAACGGCGCAAAATTTTGTAGAAATTATCCACCGTTTATATTATCATTTATGTTTAATGTATCTGCAGAAATATTGAACATTTTCGACAGTAGCAAACTAATCGAAATTAATGTAGCTAAATATCGAAAATGAAAATCAAATCCAAATAAAAACTAAAACGTTATACTAAAGAACTTACGTCAAGTCGAAGGAGAGAGCTGCAAGAACTTACATTTTTTTTTTTTTTTTTTTTTTTTTTTTTTTTTTTTTTCAGGTAGAGTGAGTGATAATTTTAAAATGCTATTCCTATTCGAAAGGTAACACTTTCTTTTCCACGAGCAGGATAAATAATCTTACAGCATTTATGTCACAGACGAAACTTTGCCTAATAAAACTGGACGCGAAAAATATTTCTTGCTTGATGCAGTGAACGGTTATCTATTTAATATATATTGCATATTCATATTTATATATCTAAAGCTGTTTGATAAACATATATCTAAATTTTATTAAATATATATATATATATATATAATTTATTTCCTAAATAATATTGATTAATTGATTATATTATCTCCTAAGTTTAATTAAAGTAGAATTATTTTAAAAGAGTGAATCCATATTGGTAAGTTATATTTTGAAAGATGTTTTGAAGTAATTTGAAAGCAAAATGTTCATGTTTTAACGGGGACTGGAGTTAATTCATCATGAAGAATAAAATTTCAATTGTAAAAGGAAAAATTAAAAACATGTAATCATTGTCATTGATCGGAAATTAGTTGACTTTTCAAGGGGAACAAACCAACTACCGTTCAATGAACAATAATTGATAAAAATACGTAAATACGAAGGTGTTTCGTCTTTACTCGAGTTATAAGTTAAAGCCAAACCGGCAATTCTAGTCAGGCCAAATATTTCCGCGAATAGAAGGGATTATGAACCAATGCTGATACTCAAAGAACTTATTCTTATGAAGCATTTTAGTCAATTCAATTTGGAGTAAAAAGCAATTTCTGTAGAGAAATCCGAAATAACTCGAGTAACCGTCCCCGACACCTTCATGTTTATGCATTTGAGTTCTATATTATTTGTAAAAATTAAACATTGGAAATTGTCATTATGAAATCGAATTCAAAGTAAAGTTGAAATAAACATAGAAGATTACAAAATAAGATAAATAATGCAAACTTTGTAAAAACAAATCAAAGACAATATAAAAATAATATAAAAAATAATATATAATAAGAACAGTGAATGTACATGAAGATATAAAGGCCAGAAAAGGTATTAAGTAACTTACATTCTTTCTAGTGGGGGAGTTGGCAAAGTGTTCTCTTCGTGTCTGACTCATAAGTGTAGGGTGTCCGAAAATTCTTAGCGGCAGTGGGGGGCTTTGAATAATATCAGTCGGTAAGACTTGGGTGAAGTAATTTATGGTAGTGGGTGGGACTCGGAATTCTTGAGGGATGTATTATGTGGAGTTCTTATTTGAGTGAGACTGTCTGTTAAGATTTTTTTTGAAAATACTAGTGAATGGAAATTAATTAATTTCTGGCTAATTGTCGTGTCGCAATGATTAAGAATTTAAGAAAGGAAAAAAGGAATTTTCACTGTCCAAGAGCTATTAGACAGACTAAAGTCATGAAATAGGCCCATTTTTTTAGTAACAGCATAAGTCTGAAGACAATTAGCTTTTTACAATATATACAATTGAGTAATTACACTATATACAAATCCTTTAACTGATAGTCATCCAACTTATACCGCCTTCTCAGGTTTAAGAACAAATTATCATATCCCTATCAGTTAAATGATTTAGAGTGAGTATTTAACGCCTGCTCTTTTAGGGCAATGGTTGATAAATTGAATATATACATGAAGGACTTTTTTTTATTTACGTTACATTATGGGTATAATCTCAAACATTCCCATGCAGCCAGCCCTTTCGTTAAGACCTAAACTCAGGTCGAAATATCAGCACTTATCGATCTTATCCGCTCTGCCGCAGCGGATATATTGGAAAAGGTTCTGATCATTGTTTTTTTAAAACGATTGATATTTCTCTAAAAAATATTACATCAGAATCTTTGTTAGAGAATTATCTCTAAATGTTTTCGTCCATTACGTTATTCTATCCTGCAGTGTTTACTCATGTTTTGCATGAGAAATAAGATCTTATGTTTTTGTTTCTCACGTCCTGGCAATACATGCGTTTCGAAAGTCAGTTGTCATTCCATTTGCTGACAGATCATTTGTCTTTTAAATTAAGACTGTTACCAAATTTTACGCTTTGAGAAGAATAAACGAATCTCTGTTGAAACGTTTTTTGTTGTACAAAAAGTGAGTTTTAATCAATCAAATAGCTTCCATTCTGTTCGATGATCTTTTCCCATCATTCTGGTAACTTTCTGATTCCGTACTCAAGAAACTTCTGGCCTATATCAGCGAAAGCCCACCAGCGGCCGAGCGGTAAAGTCGCTGAACACTGGTAGTTCGATCCGAGGTTCGAATCCCGCGAACGGGCTGGCTGCATGGGTGTTTTCGTGGTTTTCCCCATGTGTAACGTGTATACGAGCCAGTTTCCCTTAGAAAGTCTTCCACGAAGGCATCTCTCACCTTAGGAAGATAGCCCTAGTGTGCTTTGCCGTAATTATATACACCACTTTATCAGCAAAAACCTCAACCAACAACGATTTCAGATCCTCATTATTACTGAAATTTTCACCATTTAAGAAGTTTTGTAAACTTCAAAATAAATGGTAATCCGATGGTGCAAGGTTTGGGCTATATGGAGGATGCGGTAACTCTTCTCAACCAAGCTCCTATAATTTCGTACGTGTTGCTAAGGTATATTTCGTGCGTGTCAGCGGGGGGAATAGGATTCCTTTGCGCTTTGCCAATTCTGGCCTTTTCTCTTTGATTGCTTCCTCTATTTATAAGTTTATAAATTCTTGGCACTATATGTCTGAGTTAATCGTTTGGTTACATAGAAGCAGCTCAAAACGTACAAACCTTTGCAATCCCACCAAACTGACAACAAGAATTTTTTCTGATGATTTCGACGTGATTTGTGCTGACTCATCATGCTTTGACTGAGATCTTTTTCGATTAATGTTATTGCAGACATTTTTCATCACCAGTGATATTTCTTTTTAAAAAAACAAGATCGACTGCGTTAAATCTGAAATGCGTATTTTAAATATTGATTCCTTGTGTAAAGTGAATTTCTTTCAATTCATGCAGAATCCAAATATCTAGCTTCTTAACGAGTCTAATACATTGTATGTGATTTTCAATTGTTGTGTGTGGCACATTTAACCTTTTTTGCAATTTTTCACACAGTTATATGACGGATTAGATTCAATTATGGTTTTAATTTTGTCATCACCAACTTAAGAAAATGATCCAGAACACTGGGTGCCTTCAAGTGAAAATTCACCAGAATTAAATTTTTTTAACCATTTCTGACACGGGCTTTCAACATTATAAACTTCACATATATGCTTGTAAGCTCTAGCCGCTTTATTGTCTTTATAAAAATAATAAAGTAAAATATGTCGAAAATGTTTATTTTTACATGCCATGCTAAATCTGACCGTAAAATAACAGTTGCAAATAGAAGTATTCGGAATTTGTTTCTATAGCAACCTAAAATTATCAGATACCAAATCTGGAAAGTAAAAAGTTATAGGATTAACAGAAGAATAACAAAACAAACATAAAGCTATCTGCTTGTGCAAACCGAAATTGCTTTCTTCCCAATCCAATAACTACGCAAAAATTTCTAGAAGCAAAAGCTCCTTAAAAAATTGTCTTCGACGAAGTATTGAGAAAAACCTGTTGTCCGGTGTCGGAGCAAGTTTAGCCCTTTTGCGTCCAAGCAATAAAATGACTGAACACTAGTTGCAACCTGGGTTCGTATTCAGGCGAAAGGGGCTGACCGCATGTCCGATTTCATGGTTTTCTCCATGTGTAATGTGTATACTAGCCAGATTCCCTCAGAAAGTCCTTCACGAAGGCATCCCTCTCCTTAGGTAGCTAGCCCTAGTGTGCTTGTGCTTTGCCCTGATAAACTAGACCAAAAAAATGCACAGCAGTTTTAATAAAAAATCGCTTTACCTTAAAAGGTTGCGGTGAAATACTTCTGAAGGCCAGGCCACCTGAAGAACTCGGTGAATGCGGTAAATTTCCCAGACTTTGTCCGAACGGCGTTGGAATCGAGTGAGGAATGCTGGAAGGCAGATGAGGAACAACGGCTGGTTGCGGTGTCAAGGGTTTTGGTGCTTGAGTCGGCATCGATGGAGCTGCTGGAGCCTGGACAGGCTTTGGAGGGGCCACCGGGGCTTGCACGGGTTTTGGCGCAGGTGCTGGTGCAGCAGGGGCGAATCTTTTGTAAAAAAAAAAATACATTATTACTCTAGCTAATAAAATGTATACTTTTTGTAAAAGTAATTGAAGAATCCTTACGCTGGAGCAGCACCCGGGGCATTGGATGCGATCACTCTTGCTGCTAGCTTAGCATGCATGTCACAGTATAATTTATTATTGATGCAGTGAAATCCTGAAAAAGAGTAAATAGATTTCGTATAACATTGGTTTATTTGCAAGGAAGCCATAATAAAATGTTTCAGGTTAACCTCTCATTGCAAGATAAGTGACACTGCAAGACAAGTGACAAGATATTGGTCAAAAACAAACAAACAAACAAACAAAAGAATTTTCTCGTGCTTGGGATATTAAATTTATTCTTGTATGTACTTTGAACGTTGTACTATTGACACTAGCAGCATTAGATTGGATACAGCATTTTATATACTAATTAATATAGATAACTTAAACACATAACTACAAACCGACATTAAAATGTCTTTCGAAGTTGTTAATTTAGTGGAATAGAAGTTGAAAATATTTGGACAATGACATTAATTTTGTTACGTTATATAACCATATATATAGCATCCGCTTACTTTGGCAAATTCTTAATAAGGTCTTTAATTTATATTCCCTGCGTAGATCCGTTTCTCAGAATGAAATAATTTGTTACCCGTTCTGGTATCATCAAGTGTTATCATCAATCACTACAAATTCACGAACCCGTAGAATGCAACAACATGTTTTGAGTGCATTTTTAATATTTTCTTTTGAACAAATGAACAAAAAAATTCTTTCTGAACTTTTAACCAAAATTTTAGAGGTGAAAAATCCATTTTTACTTCCTTGTACGAAGTAAAAAGGAAGTATTGTAATCGCGAAAAGTTTCGGGCAGTATATTTCAACGAAAATATCCATTTTGACCGCTATCGAATGCAATTTAACGATGTTTTTGCGTGATATCTGTACGTAAAGACAGAATAAAAGACTCGTCCAAAAAAATTATAAAACTGCTTTAAAATTAATTCTGAAGAGAATTTTTCGTGGCGTTTGTACGAACGTATGTACGTACGTATCTCGTATAACTCAAAAACGAGTAGCCTCAGAACGTTGAAATTTTGTATATAGGACTGCTATAACATGTAGATGCGCACCTCGTATTTTGGTTGCAATCGGCTGCACCAAACGTATATAAATATATTTATATATATATCCGCTCTGTTACCCGGCTCAGTGATCTCAGTCTCATTACTTGTATATGTTTGTAAATTGTGCATTTTTTGCTTTAAAAATGATTGAATTATGTTCTTTTTATCTTCCGGTTAAGGTTTTTATGCCTTTAGTAAATCTGTATGCATTATTTTTAGAATTATCAACAATTTTAAAGTTGTTTAAGTGCCCTTTTTTTTATGGCGGTCATTAATTGTTTACATTTGAAACAGCAGACTAGTGGATTTGTTGCCAATCTAGAGAAACTTAGCTTCGCAACAACAAAGATGACGCCTTCATTTATTATTGCCATTTAAATCATGCTTAATCCTTTCTGGAATTTTTTCGAGGAAATAAGTGTTTAAGATTTACTTCGTAATTTTTAATATAGATATTTTGAGTTTTTATGTATCTTTGCCTTCTCGCGAAGTGAAAACGGAATTAATTGAATGAGAAATACTCAATTGTCTGTGAAAAATTGTTTCTTTTTCGTTTTGTTTGCTTAATTTCTTTTATACATCATTCTAGCTTTATTATAGTATTTGAATAGAACATGTGGCAACGATTAGATAATTCTATTCTTTAAATGATATAAATTTTGTGAATTATGAGTTATAATATGAACGAAATATAATACTGTTAAGTGAATCTAGCTCCAGCGTGTCGCTAGGATAAACAAATACTAGCGTGAATTTTAAAGATTGCATTTATTCTATTGTGGTTTATGCGCTGTAGGCGAAGTAGATTTAATTCAATCCAATAAGTTTAAACGAAATGCAAGAAAAAATGCGTATAATTTAATATTCCGTACAAGGAAGTCATGTGGTGTACACATCAGATTTTTACAGTTGCAAATAAGGCCAGTTGCAAAATATCTAATTCTACTGGTTGTAAACGCTTGTATTCCACATGCAAATTAAAATGTAATGAATACGGCAAAATTTTATAATGAGGTATGTGCTGCAACTGTTTGTGTATTCTTTTTTTAAATGTGTTTAATTTGTATTGCGCGTATTGAATAATACATCTGAATATGTGTATCCTTATTAATACTAATAAAAATTATTTCTGATGCCACTCGGTGCAAAATTGTTTTGTTTTCGGAATTATTTAATATTAACAATTTTGTTGTATTGATTTGAAATTAATTTATAAGGTTGAGAAAAACATTTTTTCCAGCCGAAGAAATGAACAAGTATTGTTTGACAACTATGTTTCAAAATAAATTAGAAAGAATGGGATAAAATAATTTCTGAATAATAAATGAGTAAAGAAACAAAACCATTAATTAGAATTTTAAGTTTCTTTAAATTAAAAAACCAGAAATAATATTTATAAAATAAAAAAGGGAAAATTCACAAAACACGATTTTATTTTACTTCAGCGTAAAACAATAACTATTAATTATCAGAACTTTCATTTTTGCAGTAAACACGCTACAAATCAATTTATAAAAATAAAACAATGCGTAATTAAATACATAGAAGGAAAAAATTATCTTCTTTATTTTTAAGAGACGAATTCTTTTAACGAATTTTTCTTCCTTAGTAAATATTTCTGTGAAATGAAGAAAAGCTTTGTAGAGTTATATATCTATATTTCGAATTTGATCTTATTTTATTACGTAAATGCGTTTTCAGAAATATCTGTAGTAAACTCATTTGTAGCTTTAAGTTAGTTAATTTTCCAGTTTATAAATCGATAAATGCATTTTTTCATCTTTATTAAAACTTTATAAACTTTCTTACAAATAGAAAATAACAAATGCTTTAGATTCTAACTAGTCTCAAATAAGCATTCTATTTAAATTTTGAATAATAAAATTTAAAAATTCATTTTATTTTTATCTTTAATTAATATCATTTTTCTTAGAAAATTCAGTAAATTTCTGATAGGGAATTTTATACTAAACTGGAAAAAATTCCTGTTTAAACTGACGCTGTTCATGAGATTTTTTCCAAGAAATTGAATTTTGTGAATTAATTTTACTTTCAGTAAAAATATTATACTTTGTTCGGTGATTTTGCGGGAAGAGATTGAATGTTATTTAATTATTAATTAACAATATTTTTAAACCCCGAAAAGAATGCTAATTAAATTTCTGTTTACTCCATTACGTATAAAATATATAATTTTTTATTAGTCAAATTTATTAAACTTTGTTTAGTTGGAAAAGGCCTTAATGTAATTTTTTTCTACACGTTGTGTTACTCAAAATTAAAATATTCTGAAAATATGCAGTGTAATGTTGAAAACTTGGAAACAGGGTAATATTATGCAATGTAAGGATTAGTTTTCTTAATAGAAAACATTAAAATTCATTTGCGCTGAGAAGAGAATGATGAATTTTTCAACTACTAGTTGCATTTGCTAACCACTAAACCACACGAACCACCTTACACATTTTCTCGGTGTTGTCTTCTTTTACTTTTTGCGCATGCATAGCATAATGGCACCTATTTAGTGCCGTTATCAAGAAAAGCTTAGTTAAAATTTTAAACAGAACCCAGAAGTGAACGACCAATGGGGACGGAAAATGGTGAATTGAAGATCTTTAAAATCATATAGAGAAACTGTCACATATAGGTGTTAACAGAATGAGCTTTTACGAGCATTGTCAATAGCAACATATTATTTGAAATCAATAGGGACATATTTTCCTGCAAGCGTTTGGGTTCCACATGAACTCACAATTTCAAACCTTTAACTACGAGCAATCATTTGCATTTCTCTTGTTATATAAAACAAAGTGGAGCCTTTCGTAAAAAATATTATGACTGCAAATGAGAAAAACATTTTTATGCTGGTGTTACTCAAACTAGATTGCAGCTAAGAGCACCGTGTCTGCACACTGAATCAAACTAGACTGCGATTGACCACAAAAGAAAAGCTCTGAGAAAAATAGGGATTTCATGCAAAATATGGTTTCTTTTCCATAAGCTATACATGAAAAATGTTATTTAGTTTAAAGTGTTGTAAAATAACCAAACCATTAATGCAAACAATTCTTGTCATAGGCTATATAATTTGAAACGAACTTTAACCACCAGGCGATCAACTTTCACTAGCTGACTTGATTTGATTTTTTAAGAAGATAAAGCTAAGTCTACTGCAAGAGAGACTCGACGAAAGTTTAACAATAGCAAAGTCTTTCTCATTCGCTGAAAATTAGCGTATTGCCTCTTTCAAACATTATCTGCAGAGATGAACGCAATGTCGTTTTTTTATTTGGAAAACTTCCATAATAAGTATGCAAACACAGTACATGCATATTTTACAGCAGAACCAAAAGAACGCTTAAACAGGAGAACGAAATAAACTACCTTACCACCTGCGATTATCAGACAGCAGATGATATGCGTAGTAAGATTCTTCATCGATGCTTGATGGAATGATATAAAGAGATTGCTTGCATATAAATAGAAAATTAAGTGCAAATATTTTGTGACTTTCGTACCGTATCAGGGATAAATAGAAAGGGCTAGCTCATTTCTTTGTTCGACTCCTCGCCGACGCGAGCCTAATGGGGGGACTTAACAGGCAGTAATCTGACGTCACTGTGATGCCACCTGTTCTGATTTCCCGCGTTTAAAACTGTAGTTTCATTCAGCTGCGAGACGATTTTCTAGAGGTTACATATCCCAAATTAATTTTAATATATATATATATCTGTTTTCTAATAATGTATATATTTAAAATAATTATTATATATATATGTAATTTTAGTCAGTTTTTATTTTAAATTCTATATTGTAAAGTATCGTTTACGTAATATGGCTTTTTGCGCTGTAGTAACGTGCCGTAGCACTTACAGAAGTATGAAAGGATGAGATATTTTATTTCATGGGACCAAAGGATCCAAATGAGATTTTGCTTTTGACGAAAGAATGGATACACAAATGTCAAAGAGAAGATTCTATTAATGTGAAGAGCGGAAAAATCTGCAGCGAACATTTTCTATGCAGTGTTTTATGAAGATGATATGAAAAATCGCTTGTTTGGATAGCCACAAAAAGAAACTGTTGAAATGGAATGCTGTGCCGAAAGTAAATTATGATGACAATAATAAATCAAATTTTAATGATTTTGAAATAAAACTCACAAATGAAAATGTAGATATTCCTGAATGCCCTAAGTTTAAGGATAAACAAGAATGCATTGATAATTTGAAGAACAAAATAATATCCTTAGAAAATTGTATTAAAGTATTGAAAAAATAGAGAAAAGAAAAATTTTAGAATGTTTGTTCAGCGACAAAGAAGGTGGACGACATCTAGACAGAAATTGGTATCAGAAATTAAAATCTCAAATAGCGAAATTTTGGGGGGGGGAAGCACAAATCGGAGAATTTGGAAAAATGTCTAAAGCCTATTTTTATAAAGACGCAGATTAATGCATTACTGAAAAAGAAGGAAAAAATCAGGTGGACTAGTGAAGATATTTCACGTTGCATTGTCATAAGAGCTCTGTCATCTTAAAGCTATGATTTTTGGAAAGAAAAAAATTAAGAAAAAATTGGAATATCTTTACCTAGTATTAGCAAATTAAAGAAATGGTGCGCTAAATTTTAGTGTAGTCCAAGAATTCAAAGTAATGTTCTTACTCTAAAGAAGGAAAGAGGCGAATATTTGTATTCTGTAGAAAAAATATGCGTTCTCAGTTTCGACGAAATGCATATAGATTGAAAACTCTGCTATGACTCTAAACTGGACCAAGTTCTCTGTTCTTTTCAAAATGTGCAGTTTGTTTTAATCAGAGGTCTCATTTCGCGCTCTGCCTCAAATTACTGAGAAACCACGTTTTAGATAAAGGATTTGTTTTAGAAGATGGAACTGTTTTAAATTTTGATATTATTAAAGAGGTTTTAAATAGAGATTGAGAAGAAATCAAATTGTGTCACAAACTAAAACCGAATTATTTAATGGTCAAGGGAAACGAGAGACAAAAAGTCGCTCCAGAGAAAACATTATTTTCAAAAAGTACCGCAAAAGGTATACTCCACTCCACCCCACAGGAAATCAAAAAAGCATCTGACTTCTATGAGTTAATCGATAATATCTTCGGTATTATGAATAGTACCAAAATAGTACCAACAAGAATAACAAGTATTTAACAAACTAATTTTGTTAAGTACTTGTTAAAGTTATTCTTATTGTATCCTTTGTAACTAATTATTGATTAGATTTTTGTGCTAGATTAGCATTCTAGATAAAATATAATAGTATAAAACATCAAAGTAATTGGCATAAAAAGACCTGCTTCCTTTACTCATACTTTTGAAAAATTAAAAGTAGTGTATTATATACTCTGAGTAGCAGAAATGTTGCCATATATGTTTAAAACTATGTCAATGTAAAATTGTTTTTTGAGTAAATTTAAATAGCTGCTATTATAGTTATCTTAGAAGCAGTATAAAAATTCTCTCAGTTGACATGCAGATAAAGAAATGATTAGAAATAAACGTGCATTAAATAAAAAAACCTGCAAATAAAAATTAAAAAAAAACCCCACGGAACTTTATGTTAAAAGAGTAGCACATTTTATCTATTATTTTAAAATTGAGTAAGTACTCTTATTATTAATTTTTTAATGGTTCAGTCTAAAATGCATAAAGCAGTAACATTGTCTCTTCCAAATTATAGCTATCTTTTACACACAGCTCATTTTAAACGCTGGTTCAAAAACGCTAATTTCCAAGCTATGAATGGACCATGGACCTTATAAGAAATAGACCAACCCAAATGGGTTTTCTCCCTCGCCTGACGCGTTCCCGGCTGTCACCTTGATCACATCCGGAGGAGTAGGGACGACTTGCAGAAATTTAACAGTGGTTCCCTATTGCAGCGTGTATAATTGTCAGGAAAAAGCTTGTGGTAGCGCCTCATTTCACAAATTAGAATTTCTACATATTTTTATTTTTGAAACTGAAATTGATTTTTAAAAATTTAGCATATTTATCAAGCACAATGAACGTTCCAAATAATTATAAAGCTATTGCACGCTTTCAGGGCTGGATATTTTTTTTAACTTTTCCTATGCTGTAAAGAAATTTGTAACTACTTCTTTTAGGAAATAATATTTTAAATCTGAACTAATAGAAAATTTCAAACAAGCAATTTTCTCTTGCAATTTTTATGCTTTATATTGGTGTAAATAAGTAAAAAATACTAAAATATTGAAAAACGAATTTTTGAAAGTTTTGTTTAAAAATTCTAAATTGTGCTGCTTTTTTTTTAAAATTATAGATGAGTATTATAGAACAATTTCTATAAAGGAATTTTATTTCAATTATATTATTTCATAATACATCATAGTGATAAACACTTTTGACTCCTTAATTTTTATACATTTAATTCTAATATTAAAATTGTATTTAACCGTAATAATTAATTTTGCTTGTATTTTATAGTGATTATTTTTTAATTTATTATTAGTTCTGCATGAGATTTTTTTTTATTTACTGTTAATTTAATTTATTAGCTCGAAGCGGTTTTTTGGCGCTGTTTCACCATAAATGTCCGTGTCTCCTTGCAAATTGCTGTTACCAAATATTATCGCCCTGTATTATATTTAAAGAAATTAAATAATGAAGAATTTGCATGAATACATGCATGTTTCTCGCACTGTGAGAAAAACGACGGTATCTAGGGCCCTCAGATTTTGAATAATGTAATCCTCCACCCGAACATGGGCATCTCGGACGGTCGAATTTCGAATTTGTTTTAATCTATTTCATATTTTGTAAAACTTTAACGAATTTTTGATTAACAAAACTCAACGAGTTCAAAGCGAGCAATGGTAACACTGTACGGAAAATAACTTTTTTATCTCCAGTGCGGAAATTCTAAAGATATGCTGTTTTCAAATGTATGTGGTTTACGGCGAAGAACATGATATTCAATAAATATAACACAAAAACGTTAAAAAAGGTTCCTTTTGGGCGTAATATAAAATATTTTATTTTATCTTTTTTCCCCCTTCATTACACTCAAAAATTTTATGTGCTCCGAATTTTATAAATTACTAAAATAAATAATCCACTTATGTTAATAATTATGAATAATCAATAAATAATTGTTTTGCAATGTTATTATAGTTTTGAAAATCACTGCCTGAAAATGTTCATTAAATTTTTTTAAAAAAAATATCAGATCTTGTTTAATTTTACCTTATTTATTTCAAAGCATCGCGTACTATCAATCTTATTTAATTTTACGCAAAATTAATTTCATAAATTTTGTGCTTAAAGTTTTTACCGTTTTACCAAAGTAAAGATGTTTGTACAAGAATTACGCGTGAAAAAAATGCGCGAAATGCAGTAAAAAGTGCTTTAATGAGATATATTAAATCCTATTTGAAAAAACTGTGGCTTTCATAATCTCATCACTATACAACGTATCACATTTAATAATTAAAAACAGTTATGTGATACAAACGCCATAGGTTTCAGTGTTAAAGTAAACCAGATCGTCCCTACTCTTTCTTGCGGACATGTCGGTGACGCGCGCCCCGTCCACTGGGTTAGTCTATCTCTAAGGTCCATGGTGTCATCATGACCACGTCATCACTTCTCCCTTTCTGCTTCAGGGGGAAAAGCTCTATGAGCTAGCCCTTCTATTCTAAGTCCTGGTACCGTATGCTATTCATTTCTGTATGCGCATATTTAACTAACTGAAACATTAATGAAGTTTTGCTTAATCTATTTTCCGAGCGTTTAGTGTAATCATTGTCCAATCTTGGTTCCGACAGCGCCAAATTCTCTCCCATCGGCGAATTTTAGTACTTTGTTTTCTGGAATCCATCTCTGCATTCCTTTCACAATCTGTATATGAAATATGGCTTAATTCTGTTCGTTAATTTAACTGTAGATGCCTTCAAACGTATATTTAATTTTTAATATATCTAACTGATAACGTTTATAAGTAAGCATCGTGTAATAAATAAAAATGGTTCTATTCCATACTGCATTCATGGTTTAGTTTTCATTTTTTTTCCCTTTCAGTTTTACCTTAAATGAAGGAATGAATTATTGTTGTTCTTAGTTTTCTTTTCATTCTCTTAAATCGATTTTAGAGCATATTAATTACTGAATTACCTTTTCAAGTTACCTTTTTAAGCGAATGTTTCCTAAGCGTTCTAATACTACATTTCTGACACATTCTAATTATTCATTGCCAAAACAGCACTGAAGCCTTTCATATAAATGCTACTTACCAACATTTTTCAAACAACAGCCACATGTACTACATTTGAAGCACTCTTCGTGTAAGATTCTGTCATTCAAATTGACACAGTGTCCGCTACATAAAAGAAAAAGAGTAAATAATTAGTAAAATCTGAATTTTTTTAATGAATTTAAACTTACATATAATATTACTTATTCTTACAAAAGGCGTAAAATATAATAAACGTAAGAGCTACTGTGAAATTCTTGCATTCTTAGAGGTGACTGAAAGTATATATAAGAGGCAAAAGAGTTTTAGTTGTCTAATTGTTTATACTAAAAATTGGTAGAGCTAGCAGTGAGCTGGTTCACAAATTAGCCAACATTTCAATCTTTCTCCTGTACATTATTTAAATTAGACTATAAACTGCAGCTCAAATAATTTTACATTATGTTCATTTAATTAAGTGTAAGCTGTTTATTTAAGCCCAAACAGTAACTTAATTTGACACTTTGACAGTTTCAGTTAGGTAGTCTGTACTAGACAGAAAAATGTAGGAATTAGAAAATGTAAAAAAAAAAGATTAATTTTTAAACTAAAATAAATCACAGCTTAAGTTATTAAAGAAATTAAGTTACAATAAATCCTAAATTTATTATAGCACAATTTTGTGAAATCAGCTAACAAAAATGAGTCCAGAAGTTCCCTCAAAGGCAAGCCCGTCAGCAGCCGAGCGGTAAAATCGCTGAACACTGGTATTTGCGACTTGGGTTCGATTATAGGCAAACGGGCTGACTGCATAGGCGTTTTCGTAGTTTTCCCTTGTTCCTCCGGTTTCCCTTTGAAAATACTCCACGAGAGCATCCCTGCCCTTATGCAGATAGCCTTAGTATGCTTTGCCAGAATCAACTAAACCAAACCAATCCCTCAGACGGGCACTATTATAACTGGCCCCTTTGTTTTAGAGACCTGGCCCAGTACCAATAACAGCGACAAAGAACTCACGTGACACTTCTACCGCAGTCTGAGCACTGTCCCAGTGCTGGTCCTTCGGAAGGTGGAGGCGTTTTTGGCGTCTTCGGAGTAAACGGAACGTTCGTATTAACTGCTGGAGTCGGCTTCGGTGGCACAGAGGGCGGAATTTTTGATGGCCTGAAGAAGGGAGATGTCGTTCCTGCTCCAGGTGTTGGAGATTTCACTAAAAATGGAAATTAAATAAGTTTCATATGAAAAGAAATTACTTGATGCAATATAGTCATGAAAGTTGGGAACAAATGCATTTCTTTAACTTCTGTTTTGCAGTTACTTCCAGTTGAGTGACCTTTTTCTTACAGATGGAGTTTTAATATTCATCTTAAATTTAGTATGAAAGAATCTATGTATTAATTCATACTAAACTTGGCAATTTATTTGGGATACAACACTACTGCAAGATTTCTTAACGTTTTTTACGTATAAGACTAGATAGACCTCATCAATAGTTAATGAATTCATTATTTCACTTATTGTCCTCTTTCCTTTATACGAACGCTAAAAGTCGAAATAATAACAGTATATTAAAAATGTTGCGCTTTGGTTTAAAAATACTATACGTTATCATTGCGTTTATTTGAAATAAATGATGCAATAACAGTGTTTTGCTTTATTATACTTTTCTAACTTTATTACATTGCAAGTTAATAATTTTATGAGATTAAAATAATACAACAATAAGATCTGTAGCTAGAGCAATGGAGATGGGGTGGGGATCACTTAAGTTCTGAGAGTTGTAGTTAGGGATGCACTATAAATTTTATTATAGGGTCCACGAAAGAAAAACGACTAGGAACCACTATCGTAGAGCAAAAATATGAATATAAAATTTGGTATTATATTAATAATTAATAATATCTCACTACCAGCTGAAAAGATAATTAATAGCCATATTTTATTTAATACGATTACATTAATCTCTATTTAATATAAAAATATTAGGTGAATAGGCATCAGATTCCTTAGCAAGCATGAGAATGTGATAGCTTCTTTGAGTATATAACCATCACAAGACTCAAACAGTGACTGTAAAAATTATGTAGCAATAAGAACTGTAATATGGTCATTAGTATTGGTACTTTATAGACAAGCTACAAATACATTTAAAGGTTCCAGATGCCTTGAAGTATTTATAAGCAGAATGCAGCCAAGGATATTTGTCCTATTGTAAAGCTTAGTAAATATGTAACGCAATTTTTTGTGAATAATATCTCATATTTAATATTATGACTATGAATAATATATATTAGAATATGAATAATATAAATTAGAATATGAATAATATATATTAGTATATAATAATATATATTAGTTCCTCTATTTCGCCTCTTCATAATATATCTTAGATTATAATATGAATAATTATATTAGACTATAATAATTATATAAGACTATATATATAAGACTATGAATAATATATTTGAGACTATATGCATAAAACTACGAATGAATTATGATATGTATTATACTGTAAAAAAAAGTCTTAGATTATTGTATGTAAAGAATTAAATACAGGTTCCTAACGTGTACCGATTAGAAATGCAAGTTGTTCACAAAGGCTCTGAACTAATTTAACTGTATTTTATTTAGGAATGCAGCAATTTATACCTTTGGTACTAGTTACACTTTCATAAGCAAGATTAAAAAACTTTACAAGTGACACAAGTTCTACATGCGACAAAATTACCTCTGGTTGGCTATCTTTTGGCTGTAGGTAAATGCAATTAATCTATATACCGGGATAAACTCTAGCTATTATTTTTCGTTCATTGAAGAAAATAGTTCTAAAATCTTGTCACGCAGAATCTTACACCAGACATTCATTTTCGGGCTGTTCTGCTTCAACTCTACATAAAGATGTGCCATGAAGAGTTTCGGACCCCCAATTCATACCGTGTGTACCATATTGTATGTATACTAAACCAAAATAAATCGTTGAGAAAAAAGTTTGATATACGCATAATAACCACTATGAAATTATACAGCACTTATATTTTACCGGCTTTTAACAATAATATAATCAAGTTCTACAGGGACTTTATGGATTCCTATGTATATGAGAATCGTGCATTTATAATAATATGCAATTTTTTAAAATGTTTGTATATGTATACTGTTGTATGTATAATATTACATGAAATATCTAAGAGTATGCTTATACGTCATAGTCGAGCACGTGTTTCCTGAAGGTAGCGTACTTTACATTGCTGACTTTCAGCTTAACTTTTATCGCTTTTCATAATCGGCTTTTCTCTCAACAATTCATTTCTCTTTTCAACAAAAAGTTTTTCTCTAAGTTTGTTATGAACTTAATTACAAAGCTCACTAGAGAAAGCAACGAGCCCAAGCACCCAGCTGCAATAGAACTATTGCCTCAGCAGTTAGTGTATAATAATGTGCTAACGCTATACCGCAGCGTGATTTCAACATTGTAGTATAGTGCAATAATGTAATTAAAGTATGCATATAATGTAGAGCTGAGGATGTGTCAATCACTGGCATTGCCCAGTAAATGAAATGTGTGGTTTTCTTGGTATAATAACGTGTATCGCGTTTTATGTAAAATATTATGGTTCAGTAATAAGCATGCATTGTTGTGTGTATTGTATACAATGCATTATTTAGAAGACGGAGTGTACAGTAGAACTGGGAGAGCATCTCTTACATTTCATAACTAGAGTTATGTAAATATTGCAAAGATTAGAATATATCTCAGCTATGACGTCTATAAATATATATATAAGTCATCCATATACAAAAAACAGAGAATAAATCGTAAGAGAACAGGAGCATGCAAGCATTGTAGCATATGAATTGTAGTATAGAAATACGTACATATGTTGTAAAACCTACTATAAGCGAATCATGTGTAATATAATAATTTGAAATTCAGAGTCCTCCATATATTTGATGTAGAATGGATTGCAACTTTAATATATTAATATATATTCCTCATTTTGAGAAATCCTGTTGTATGTCGCGTTTTAGCGCGAAATCCTGTTGTATGTCGCGTATCCTGTTGTATGTCTGTTAAACTCTCATAAATATGCAATAGAGCCATCGTATAGGATAACATGATAGGGGCAACCGTATGAATGCACAGCTGGTAACTAAATATAGTTATCTGACTGCATTTTGAATCATTACATATCTTAAGTTCCCTTATTACTTAAATGCAGCCTAACAATGCTCACAGAATATAAATACCCTTCTAAGGGTTGATAGCTAAACTCCGTAGGATTACCTCGAAAGTCAACCGTAGCGGTGTTCATTACTGAAATTTAGACAATATTTAATATCTCTCAGATGTATGTGCTGAAAAAGGATTCAAGTCAGCGACATATTTAACTATATTTGCACCAGTTTTGCAGGTAACGATGAAGAAAATATTTAGCGTTTAACTGATTAAAGAACAATGAACGTTTTTTTTTTAGTTGCTATCTCTTCTCTACGGACATCACGTAAAAAATTTTATTTTGCATTTCCAACTCATTCCATTTTTCATTGCTTGAACCTGTTCTCATAAAACTGTGTACATTATTTAGAGAAACTTCCTAATAGCAAATATATGTTTACTTAAAGTAATAAAGTTTGTGTGGCTTCTTTTCACGAAAACCTTATTTAAATAAAGCTTTTGAATAATCGCAAGTAGTGCAAAGAAAGAAGGAATAATGATAATAAATTCATTAAAAATGCATATAAAAAGCAGGTTTTTTGCTGTAATATATGGAACCCTAACAGAAAAAGTAGACTTTTTAAACTTTCAAAATTTAGATAAGTTTTGATGTAATATAAAAAATTTATATCGAATACCTACCTAATGGAAAAGCTTCATTCGAGGAAAGCTGACATGGCTTTGCTTTCCCAAAATAAAGTATGTTTTGCAAACTTTTGCCAGAAGTACGTCTCTTAACTCGACGAATATAATAAATGTAACCTAAAGCGATCTTCAATTGATGTTTATTCCGAAGAAAGCCCTATGTCCTAAAAACTATTGGTCATTTCTAAAGTAGTCATTTCAAAGAGATAGACGTCATTAGAGAGTTCAGCAAGCGTCTATAATTTCAAGCTATATTTAATTTGTAGGTATATTCGCCGCATAACGCGCACCCAGTTCTTCACGAAACCTAAAAGATACATGTGCAGTGCTATTATTTTTTAGGTCACTTATCTGACGATTTGCCTTCCGAAGAATGGTATACCGAATCGACAAGCGATAAGCGGAACAATATATTGTTACGAATTTGGTATTTAAAAAGCTAATGTTAGTTCAATTATAAATTAAATGGTTTTATTTCTCGCGCAGTGCAGCGCGTGACGAATATTAAAAGAAAGCTAAGCCGGAAAATTGAAAATACAAGAGCGCGTGCATTAAATAAATAAATATCTCTTTTTGATTTCGAGAAAAGTACTGGAAAATTCTAGCGCGTGATTTTAAAATCTTATAAAAGGAGGAAAAACATCTCAGTTTGTAGTAGTTGCTTAGTTTGTTGTTGTTTAGAAAAACTACTGTTGTTGATTGTAGCGAATTCGCGGATTAGCGTTCTTTAGCTGTTTTGAATTACGTTCTATTGGACATTTGAGTAGTTTAAAAGATAAAACTACTGTGAGATATTGTAATACTGCATGATAATTTGAGAAATTTAAGCATTTTTGTTGTGATAATAATAAATTTTTGTTCATTTTTCATCGGACTTGTGCATTCATTTCATAACGAACCCGTACGCACGCAACAATATGTATGGGTTAAATGCTTGAGGTAGTAAATATTCTTGCAGAGAGGGTGTATTGTAATCAATAAGTGTACAAAAGAATGCTATTTTAGAGTTTCGAGAAAAATTTTGAGAAAGAATTCACTTTCAATTCGAAAGGATTCGCGGAATCAGGATTCAGATGTTTTCTCTTTCTGTAGTCATTAGAAGCCATGATTATGAAGTGAGCATCGAAGGTTTTAGTTGAAATATAGTTGATCTTATGTTCCTTTTAGTAGTAAATACAATTCCTGCCAAACGAAATAGCACAGTGCTTGTTTCAAATGCAATGTTATTCAGTTTGCGTAAGAAAATGGAAATCATGCTGCAGTAAGGCTGTTTGGTATTGGTGAACGATCGAACGGATGATGGTTATTTATTTATGGATTAGGTTAACAATGATGGAGAAGTTGAAACAGAAATCGATGATGTGC